CCCTCAACCCTATCCGACGCGTTCATCGATCAGGCCATCAATGGAGGAACGTAATTTCGCGTTTAAAAAATGACACCGCGGAGAAGAACGAGTCTTTCAACTAATCCAGCTTTTCAAATGATTGATGATGGACATTTTTTTAATTTTTTACTCTTGCATCAATCAAAGATACTTGCCTTGTGCCTGCTTTATTAAAAAGTAGAACAACCGAATCGCCTTATCGCACTGTTATTTGATTTAACCCCCTTAAGTCTTCAATATTTGAAGTTCAACCCTTTGACTACGTCTTTGAAACGCATCAGCCGTATCACAAGGTAGGAATTAATTTGCATTGTTTTTGAGCGTTTATAGGCGCCTACGATATCACAAGCGCAAGTTTTCTAAGCTCCTTCAGGCGCCAATAGTAGTCAAGAGGTTAATTACGTTTTACTGGGGCATTCCTTTCAATTGTACGTAGTTGGCTTGATTCTCACACCTTAATTGATTTTGCCTGTGCTGCTTTCATATATCATCTGTAGATATTGTTACACTGGTTCGTTTGATTTATAGCCATAAATCCATGCGCATTATACCATTAACAAGTACTTTAGCGTACAATTACAATTAATTATAGTGTCCTCCAAGAGGCTGCGTTGTTTCCGAACTCGCGAATTCACAGTAGCGCACCTCGATCATTCATCCGACGGAGACGGCTATCCAACGTCCCGTCGTTAATAGCACCTACGCAGATAACTCTGTTTTCACTTGGTGATATTTCACACGTTTACGTCACCGCGAGATGTATTACAATGGATTTTTATGCAAATTTAAGTTCTCATAAAAACAATTGAACCGCTAGACTACTGTGATGTCTGCAGGCTTAGAAATTTCGCGTTTGTGACACTGAGAGATACCTATAGGCGCTTATCCTATTGTGATCGCCTTTTATTGTGATCGCCCTGTTTTTTAATATTTGTAGTAACAATTCGATTCAGAGTACAAAGAAATAAATAATATTGTTTCAATGTAATGAAATTCAGTTTTTTGTTTATTAAAATATATTTTCACAAAAATGCATCCCTATATAAAATTTCGCTGTTCTCGGCGTACGTCGTAACTGAATTACTACCGTATGGAACAGTCGGTGCGTCTCAGTCTGCCTTAGTCAAGGGGTTAAAAAATGAAAAGTAATTTGCAGTGTATATGTAGATTGCTTCAAACTGAACAACGACGATGCACCGTTAAAGTGGATAAGCAACCGTGGGTAAAAGCGTGAAGCAATAATTTGCGAAAGTACTAAGTCAAAAATCTGATATATCTCATCTTCAAAGCAATTGATACCTTTAAGAGGAACTAAAAAATTGAGTTTCTTTTAACGGAATAAGAAGCAAGACACCCGGTTCGTCGCATAAATTTCACGGAGCTATAAAAACTAGGAAAAACGGGAGGATTTCAATTTAATCTGTTCCGAGTGGAAACGTCGGGAGAACCGGGATTCGCTCGCGCTGCGCTCGTGTTCGTTAGTAATTCATGGAAATCTATCGTATCGCGCAAGCCTTAAAAATAAAATATTAGTGCTGAAAAAGTCGAATCCTGTTATCTGTTAGCACAGCAAGTGTTTCGTGGATTCTGTATTTAAAACAATCAGCTTTTTAGGAATCGTTTGTTTACCGAAATCGGATTAAAAACGTCAATATGTGGGCGTCCTGTAAAAACTACGAACGAGAAATTCAAAAGAAATGGAGAAAATGTAAACTGTTCATAAATTCATATCCAGATTGCATGTTTACTAAATTCCAGTAAAATGACCGTACCGTATTATTATAAAAAATGAACCGTATTCCTGCAGCCACAGATGGAAGTCGGGATTGCTAGATGAAAAATGTAGATTTAACAACTCCAGCGAATACAAATTACATGTAGGTATATGAGACGCGGTCTGATGCACGACCTTCCGAGGGAATATTAAGCTAAAGGATAATTGCTTCTTAAAAAGTAGGCCATGTTTACCTGAACTTTGATTAAGCGCCACGGGAACTTATCGCCAAGCCAAATTGCCACGATGTGCTTGCGGTGCGACTTCAGGGTAAACTCCATACCGTGGGTAGGCAGTGCCCGAGGAGAACGAGGCATAAAAGGGTGAATTAAAGAAACGGTCGATATCGCGCGTCAGTACACAGGCCATAAGTACACACGTAATCCATATTTCGTTCGCCCCGGACGTCACCGGATACGTAGGTCAGACAACAAATATCCAAGTTATCCGTTGCCTCTAAAAATATATGAATAAATAACAAATATCGTTCCACCTCGGTCCATCTGTGCAAACGTTTGCCGCGTAAATCTTTGCCATTGCACAGAAAATTTACATAGGAATCTACAGTACATTACGTATTCTACTTCTACGTTTCGCGTACATTATCACACTTGTTTTACCGAATTTCAAGTTAGAATTGAAATCTACACATTTCACAGTGAATACCATTATTTCCCATGAACGATTTACTTAACTCATAACGCGTTCTTGGTGAGCTGGGGGGGGATTATGTACGGAAAGGTGTAACATATTTATTGATCGACTCGTACTTCTTTATCGCGTCATTTCCAAGCTGAATTCGAGCGGACGATTGATCGGACGTTACGTAACGACCCAAGCCACTACAGTCGGCGGACGCTGAAAAGACGTAACGAGCATCTTTTTCGGAAACGGCGCTAAACCAGCCGGGCGACGACGGCCAATTTTAAGCGAACGCGTCTCAGTCCTCGTTCATCTCTTTCCGTTCTCTCCCCGGAGGAAGTCGATATATCTCGCGTAACATTTCGGAGTGGCTCGTACGTTCGTTGCCACGGCAGTTACGTTCGGCCGAGTTAACGCGGAAGAGCAACACCTTTTCTTCTTTCGCCCAGGCGCGTCGGACGTTAATCTAAATATAGTTAAGCTATTTCCGAATTCGGGATGGCGATCGAAAACGGGAAAAAGAGAGGAAAAAGCCGAGGGATTCAAGGGAAGAACGAGGGTATTTTAAATTTATCGATGGCATATGCACACGCATCCAGGTGTTCACGTTCGTTCACCGAGTGTTCCGATGACAATGAGAAACTCGACGGACTCGTCGCGTGCCGTGTTTGTACACGTGCGTGTGATCGTGTCAAGAACCGTTTTACATATGTCAATACCGTATCAATACCTTAAACAAGTTTTAATATCCTTATATTCCAATAGAATGACAAGGACTTCGCTTATTTTATACAATTGAAAATTCTAGACTATTACAATTTTGCATTGAAGAAGAAAATTGCTTTCCTGAAAATGAGGGCAACATATTTAAAACTATATAGGGTGTATAAAAATTATACGCCACAGTCATCGTAGCGAGACTTTACACCTCTGAATCGGTGGAAATTATTGTATATTGTTCTTGAAAATCAATATCAAGAGATTAAAAATTAGTCTTATATCGCATCGTATAGCACTAATCGTGAAGAATAAAAGTCTCAAAGGAACAATACGTTTCGAATCAATCGTTCACATAAAAAATGAAATTAAAGTTTCGATGATTTCTCAGCTCACTTTATTTGTAATACGATGTTATATTCAGTCAAGGTCAATTTCGCGGGCAAGTTTTTGAAGAGATCTCCACCGATGAAGAGATATAGAATCCCTCTGTGGCGGTCGTAACATCATTTTTATACACCCCGCACAATAAAATGTAATATCGATCAAAGATTGATCTGTTGAGATTGTTGAGGTCTTCGAAATTTTCCAAACATCACCTATCAAGCTGTCAATCTTAATGTACGTTCGTCGGATAGTCAATGCAATTCAAGGAAAAGTGCATTTTCGGAGAATAGACTCGATATCGACGTCTTACCTGAACCGTCCCCTGTACGTGGCGGTGGCGACGAATCAATTTACGTGGGGCGCGCGCACCGTGTATCGGGATCCATCGAGGGTGGAGGCGAATTCGAACTCGAACTCGGAACTCGAAAGGTCCTTGGAGATCGACGTACGAAAGAGGGCTGGTCGCCGCGGCGCAGAATTGTATGGCTGCGCGTATCGTGTTCACGTTCTCTGTTTTCGGGAATCGTAACTCGATGTACCAATAGGGTTTCCAACCTGAAACGGTCTCATGCCTCTGCAGATCTAAAACGACCGTCACGTTCCATTCCTATTCATCCTTCCAACAATCTTAATCTGCCTAATTATACCTACGACATTCCTTACATGCCTATTATACTTTATAATGTAATTCAGATGCAATGTTCTGTGCTTAATTTACAATATCTCACAAATTCCTACACTAGTCTTATCAATACAATATTTTTATAATAGCGAATAATTCTTGTTCATACAAGATTAGTTAAAATGTGAATTTATTTTTATCTAAAGATATTTCGTACGATTTTATCTTTTTTCTTTTATGTGTCATATTTATTTCCATAATTGTATAGTTTCTATCCTTTTTTTATCTGTTTTTATTGCGCTTCTTCTAAACATGACTATTATTACGTCGTCACTATAAAAAGAATCCATCTGTTAGCTAAATAAATAAATAAATAAATAAATAAACAAGTAAATTTGATGAACCGTACTGTTTGAATAACGTGAACCACGCTTCCTTTCATCCTGAAAGAGCGTGCGCGTGGGATCCTCGTGCAAAAGTTTAACCGGCTGCTGTTGTATCGATTAAACGCTCACCTTGACACAGGTTGTTTCTACGAAGTTGACCGTGCGTGAACCCTCACCGTTGAACTTTGCAATGTACCGCGAAGCGGAAAACGTTTCGATCGCAAATTCTACTTACAGCAACGCATGTATTAATAGAAACTCGCGAAACCTTTAGACAACTAGATGGAATCAATTTTCATTTTCAAAAGGTCAAACGAGTTCTTAGAATCAATTTTAATTAATTCGACTAAAGATTGTTGATACCAATTGTCTGAGGCATTCACTATCGTCAATTGCACTTGTCCTGAACCGATGGTATCGGCTTAGGAACCAACCCCCGTCTTTGTTTCAGAGCTGTACTTTACTCAATCGGATTTGACCGTACGGATACCGTACCTCCCGCGAAACGGTGAACAGCAGTCATCATGGACCATGAAATTGCTCGAGTTAAGAACCTTGCGAAACGACTCCTCGAATACGAGTCGTGCCAACTACCGAATCACCATGCCTCGGGATCAGATCGTTTCCATAGATTCTGATACGAACAGTCTTTTATTGCACGGTCCTCCTAAAACAGGTAAGCACTGCTTTCTGTTTGAACAGTTCAAGCAGAAACGAGTTCGTCATTGCGTTTGGTTAATTGCAAAGGTGCACCTGAAAACGACACGGTCGTCGTCCTAGCCAGAGATGAAGAAAGCGAGGCTGTGTTGCAGATCAAGTTAAAAATGTTGCCCGTCGAAAAGACAATCAATTGCACGGAATACATTCAGGTAATTTAGGAAATTCGTTCAATGTGAAAATATTCTTTCTCGATTGAATTACATATAATAGAAATAAACACTGACACGTATTCATATAAAACGTCAAAGGGAGATACGTATTATAATTTTTAAATAGTAAACTTTATTTTCTAAAGTGATATTGCAATTATTTTGTCTTGCAAAATTATTTACAGTCTAATAATAAGAATATGTTTAATGATAGGATATGTGCTTTTGGAGCGAGTCAAGATACAGGATCTACGAGAACCAACCGGATACGAAGATCGGTACCTTCGGCCCGGGAGTCTACAGTGAAATTTGCCCTACCTACCGCGTCACTGATTACAAGCTACTGAACGGCAAGTGCGAAACGCTTCGAGATCGATTTTTCTGCAAGCGCGTCGTGCACGATCGATGGTTGCTTTAACTTTAACGGGCCGATGGGGGCGTATGTTTCCTGGACACGAACGAAGAACATATATCCCTTTTGCGGTCGCCAGTTTACGACCTACAATATCTCTCAAAAGTTAATCCGTTCGCTGTTGGTCAGCTATTCCTTAATTGGTATCTAACGTGTCTGTAAATCATACAGGAATGATGTCTCTTCTAGTTTTAGAACGACACTTCCATCTCACTTAAATAAAAATAAAATCGATGTCACCAATTTTTTTGACCACGATGTTTCGAAGAATTAACAGAGATTTAAACATTTGAAGCTGAGACGAATAGATTAATAACACTACTGCTATCATACATATAATAATGGAAACATCCAACGTAGTGTACGAATGATACTTTTTCAAGAGACTATCTTTTAAGCTCGGACGACGTATCTCATTCGAACGTAAATCAGTGGAACGTGCGCGCGCGTTTCAGAATTCCCGGAAGGCGAACGAAAGCGTTCGCAGAAAGAGTAAGGATAAGGGAAGATAAGAGAATTGTTGGATGTATTCGTAGGTACCGAGTATTTTCACGTGTCGAACGACAGCCTGTTCGCAAACGCCTTGCTGGATCGAGACACCTTGGGTCCGCCGCCCGGAGGACCGGGTCCGAGAATCACCGTTCAAGTCCAGTGCGTCGTTTGGGAGGAAAATACTGGAATACAACACGCACCCATCAACACGTTGCACGTGGACGTTTTAGATCAGGACGACAATCCGCCTATGGCTCAAGGAAATGACTCGATTACGATCACATTAGGAGAATTCACGACAGTGAGTGAACTTTTCACATTCTTCCTATTTCCTTGACTGATTTTGTATGGCTCTATCAGAACAGTACGATAAACAGTTTACGTTTGATAGAGTAAAGATCCTAGAATACGCTAAGGCGTGAAAAAGCGACTAGCGTCGTGTTAGATTGATTAGTTAAGGGATAAAATGATAAGGACGGTAGTGCAAATCGCCCTTGAACGGATCGGAATTATAGGCGCGTTCGTTGACGAACGGACGCTTAAAGAATCGAAATTAATCAGTGACGGCATTGTTCGCGCGATCGCGCGGCATTGTCTCGGACGTGAAAAGATGCGGAAGCGGAAGAACAAGGGGGAGCCGTCGCGAAGGAAAACCCTTCGGGGGCTGATCCTGATTAAGCTCGAATCTTTTTTACTTTACTTTTACTCTACCACGTCGCGTCGCCTCTTCATCTCGTTCACTTCTCTTCGCTTTGTAGCCATAGATTGCTTGATATTATATGAACACGGATTAATGACATTAGTGCTTGCAATCTTTAAAATATGAATACAGCTGTTAATTGTTTGTTCATTAAAAGTTTTCAACAAACAATTTCTATGACAGTAAATACAAATACAAACAACTTGGCATGTTTTATGTTTATAAATGCTATCAATGAATTATCACTAGATTGCGGATTTTCATGCAGACTAAAACATTTGGGATATCCATTTAAAAAATGTGATTGAAATACTTTCATCGTTTGAGTATTTTGATACATATGCAGATTTCAATATTTCTGTACTTTCAATTCTTCTATAAAATCTATAGTCTAATTATTATTAGATTCATTTGTGGTTACAATCTTCTTACCGATACTTTTTCGATAATCGTGATAAGGGTGAAAAATTATTATTAGTCTAACTATTAGATTTAATTGTGGTTCCAATCTGCTTACTGATACCTTTTCGATAATCGTGGTCAGGGTGACAAATTGGTAGACGATAACAAGCTGATACTGAAAGACGCGGATGCGGAAAGCAGCAATCTTTACACTGTCCGCGTACTCGATGACACTCACAACGTTTTGAATGTCAGCCATAAGACTCTGCCTATCGAGCTGCCTCAGCGCGTACCCTACACCGGCATATTCACGAGTGAGTTACGCGTTACGCTATAAATCCCTTGCGCTTCCTATCAAACGCCGCCGACTCGTTTCCGTTGTCCGTTGCAGGAATTTACGCGAAAATCACTCTACTACCGAAGTCCCCTTATCGCGTGACGCTTCAAGTTAAGGATGAGACTCTGCTTCCGGGCTACGGAGAAAATACGGTGAGTCCTGTTTTTTATTTACAGTATGCATAAATTCCATTTGTTATATCTTCAACGTTCGCAAGTGTTCATATTATTAATCAGTTTATGGAGAATATACGTATTCATTCGGTCAGACCAAACATGAACGTTCCATCATTTAATAATAAACTCATGTATTTAAGAATGTGGTAATATATGTGTGTGATCTGATAAATCAATTAATTGGAAATGAACTTATTAGATAATTTTAAAAAACTGTATGTGCATGTATGTAACTGAAAGGATTCAGTTTCCGGCACCGGAGGGAACCCCTATTAACAAAAAGTGGCAATTTAGTTAATCCGCTTGGCAGAATCACGGCTCGTTAAACAATTAGACAGCGAGGACTGCGAAAACGCGTTGGGTGCGGCGACAAGCGAAGTCGGTTAAGCGATAATTAATGGGAATCGTTTTCGCGTGTGGAAATTGCACGGCGGTCGTCGCGTGGGCGGAAGATTCCTATTATCCCCGTATTCGAACTTCCGGTTTAAAATGCTTAAACGCCTACGAGGAAGCGCTCGGAAGCGAAAATTTCCGTGAAACGGACGAATTACAGCGAATGCGGTTTCGAAATTTTTTTCGCGAGATTTCGGTCTCTGTCAAATTCAGAGCCCGGCTCGGGCCAGTGATCGGTCACGGGAATTGGGCAAACGAATTGGAAATCGAATGCACGCGGTGCACGCGGAAAAGAAAATTAAACACGAGAATAAAAAACGTATATCGCGAAATTCGACCTATATTGAGAATAAATCTATTGATAAAAAATGATCTAAAATAAGAAAATTTCGCCATTTCCATTTAAAAATCAATTAATGGTAATTTCAATCGAAACTCGATTTTTCTTCTTATCGATATCACTTCGTATCTTAATAAAATGGCTGAAACTTGATATCTATTGACCAGATGAAATTCAGGCAAATTCAATGAAAAATTAAGTCAGCTTCTATCCAGTTTTTTTTAATCGATCTTTCCTTTCTAATTTTGTTGTGAACTTTCTATCTACGAGCTCAACAAACCAACGGACGTGCGGGCATAATAAAAGATGAGTATTTCATATCGTTAGTTAAATATCACGCTGACTTTCTACGGACCGGAGCACCGAACGACAACGACGACCGTGTCGTCGATATCTCCGAGCAAGCAGCAAGCATTCACGTATCCCGCTACCGTGAAAGTTCCGAGACTGGCTTTCCGTTACATGCGAGTCGCGAAACCGAGCAGCGAACCACATCACTCCATCAGCTTCTCTCTTCACGGTTCCGATGCGTTCGGAATCACACAAAAGGGTGGCATAGTATTCGTTGACCAAGAAGACTTACTCAAAACTGAACCAGCGAATTTAATGTAAGTTGATTACTCGACATGAAGTCAATCCGATTGATCCAATATTAAAATCAAAAAAATGAGCGATAGAATTTGAAATCATTAAGGGTGGTTCTATCAGTTCACATTTGTTTTTTATGAAATTTAATTATCGATAAATCTGTGTATGAACTGTCGTGACCCTCTAGTATCAGGTAAATCAGTAACGATTTTAGGTTGAAAATTAAGTGGGCTGTGGAGAAGCTTGTGATCTCATCGAAGAACATAAGGATCAATTTGATCGACGTGTCGTCATTAAAAACGGACGGGTGCAATCGTACCAAAAACGGCCGAATGCATTCCTGCGCGAACGCGGAAACGCCGGAGGAGTGCGAGTCCACCTGTGGAGTCGCCAGTGGATCTTACAGGTATCCCATCTTTTTGAAAATCTCCCATCCTTTTTCCCGAAATTACAAATGTAAGAATCTTTGGTTAATGTGTTAATTCGTTTTACTTTTATAGTGTTACTATCACGATTACCTAATATATATTTTTCTATTCAACGTCCTCTGTTTTTGCGGAGTAAAACATATTATTAATAATATGTATACGTACTATTATCTGCTGAAAATGTATTAGAATTTATTACATTTATTCGTACTTCAGTTTAGAATTCGAATTAAATTAGCAGATTAGATTAGTAAAGCAGACTGGTTGGCAGAGATAAAGGGTGAACTAATGGAACATAGCCGCATACTAATTAGACATAATTCAACTCCCGAACAGAATGTAGAAATCCTGGAAGGAAAAACATAATGGGTTGAATTTCCAGCAAGACCAATTTCTCCGGACAATGCGTGTGGCGATGGAACAAGCGGTCGAACGAGATGCCCATCATGTCCGCCCATTACCCAACCTGCTCCCCAGATTTGACCCACTGCCCCGACAATCGTTGCGACGAGCTCGAATGGCTGGATCCTCGCATTTGTCCGCAGGATTGCACCTTAGAATGTAAGCTGCCCCGCGCCCCGTTTCTAAGAACGGGGACAAAGTGTAAGACGAATGTTTTCGTACGTTTCAGCGGAAGTGCTGTTCGCTCACATGAACAAGGGTGGCCGCGGGATTAAAAGCGGTTTGGGAACTTGCACGTGCAATGACATACTTCAGTGTACTTGCAACGTGGATCGGTTCCGCGTCCGGAGCGACAACGGCACGAGCAAAGGAAACAGAGACAAGAAGAAGGAAGACAAAGAATTGCAGGAGAACGAGATTCTGGTGGGCGCTCGCAAAGGTTGAAAATAGCTTTGATTCATTTGCAGGCTTGCTTTTATTATTATGACATACAATGACGTCTGGGAGACGTCATTCGTTCCACGTGCCATTATAGACTTTGACGTCTCCGAGACGTCAAGGACTTAACTAGTATTAATTATTAATAGGATTTAAATAGTATTTTTCGAACGCATCAAATGCTATTTTATTTGTATATACTTATACTTTCTTACTCCGATTTTTTTCGCAGCGTCCCACGGACCATGTGGACTTATGTGTATGACAGGTGTGATAGGAGGCAGCTTTCTTCTGTTGACCGCGGTCATCGTGTCGTTCATCACGTCCAGATACAGGTAAGACAAACTCTTCCAAGTCTTTGATCGATTAATGCATTAAACGGTTTCCTATTACTTATTCTTTTTTCATGAAATTAGTTTCAATCGAATATCTAATACAATTTTGCGATCTTAACTCTGTTACTTCTTTTGCTTTTTTATTGGTGAATATGTATACAATATAAGGAGGCATGTATTTAGAGGCAGCTGGTCAAATTTTAGATAACCGTCGAACGGGTTCGTTGTACTCATACCTCGCCGCCGATCGTTCGTTCAACCGACAAATAGATACCTTATTGAATTTTGCCAGTCGGAATCAAACGTCCTTTTGTCGTCAAGCCGAGCTTACAGCCGGCACCGTTTGTACTTTCTTCTGAAATTACTTCACGTTGCTCTATTTTCATATTCATATATTCAAATTTCATGAGCTCGTAAAATTTATGTCTCAATAGGAACGTAAATATTCAAGATGCTAATCGTAAATGCCTTTAAACGGAGCACTTTGATAATGCCCTTCGTTAATTCGTTCTTACTTGATATATTCCATTACGAAAATGAAAAGAATTTCTGTAGTAACTTGAGCGTAAGCGTTTGAACCGTGTACACGGAATTGAAAAAGTTTCTTCATCGTTTTCTCTTCGAAAAAGTTTGCCAGTGTTCTCATTTAGGCATCTTTTTCCGTGAAACAGCCCCTCGCTTCTGAATTCTTTACCAGTTCGCAGTTAGAAAATCGCCTTGCTCAATTTTATTGCTGCACGCGATTCGAAATAACGAAATAATAATTTCATGGAGTATTTAAATCAGTAAAATAATGTACAATTTTTATCTGAAAACCAATTAGTTTTGGTGATTGTATCAGCAAGGGCAACGTGCGAGAGCAGTTGCTAAATGTATTTTACACACAATAGATTCCTAATCTTTCTGATCACTATTTTTGTATTCTTTTTGTTTATGAATCGTTTGCTTTTCTGTGGGATCACTGTCTGCAACTGCATAATAACACAGGGAAGAAATGCAGCTCACCCTCATCAAGAATCGACAGTTTCAATACGGGGATAACGTATTCGGTCGTTTTGCCTTTCAGATTGGCAGCGAAGGAAGCGCGGCGAGAGAGCAAGCGTAGGGTGGAAGGGGAGTCGAACGGAGCGGGCATTTTACCCTCGGACTACATCGACCGGGGCGATGGACTTCTCATCGGGCTAGACACCTTCACCGCGGCAAATCGTCATCTCCTTTTGCCCAAAACCTGTCCCGTAAGTAATTACATAATACATATATAATACATAGTTGTTCCTTAAAAATTACCACTAATGGTAATTCTTATTGACCCCATATGTATATGTGAAAGAGACATTTGAAACTTTTGTACCAGTTTTAAAATTAATTCAAACTTGACTTATCTGTGTCATCATATGCCTTATTAATGTTGCCTGGGAATATGTTAAACGAAAGTTTCTGTACTTGTTTGTCGATAAATGCAATTGAGTTTCTCCTTGTCTTCATATGTTAGTTCGTCGAATACTAAAATATCACATTATTCGATTGCATATATGTATCGTTCATAAATTGCTTCAGTCATTGATTCAGCACTAGCTCAATTATTGAAGTTGTATTAGTAAGCGAAATTCTGGAAGGATGGTATATTTCTTTAGCCGGATCCAAAGTGGGAGTTCCCTCGATCGCGACTCACGATCGAACAAGTACTCGGTGAGGGTGAGTTTGGCCGAGTGCTACGAGCTACGGCGATCGACATCAGTGAAATTCCCGGTCCAACGACCGTTGCGGTGAAAACGTTGAAGGAGAATGCGTGTGCCTCCGAATTGGCGGATCTGCTGTCGGAGTATCAGCTCCTGAAGGAGGCTCAGCACCCAAACGTGATCAGACTGCTGGGTGCATGCACCACCCCCGGTGCCCCGGTCTACCTCATCATCGAGTTCGCGGAATTCGGCTCGCTACGGTGAGTACATACGCGATTATGAAATTCTGTTGGCTCACGGACTATAACCGTGCCTCCATGGAAAGAGAATAGAACGCTCTAATTGAATTCTTCTTACGTCTCGCGTTTTCACGGAAGATAAAAGATATTAAACGTAATACTGGTAGTGAGATATGTTACGACCTGGATTCTTAACGGTCTACAAGCCATTGTGATTTCTGGTTTTACATCTGATTCCTTTCTCCAATAGAATAAAGATTGTATATCATATTTTACTGGTTTAATAACTAAATGATACCATTATGATTTTTAAAAATGTGCTTAATTCAATGTCCTAAGATTCTACTTTATACTAGCATTATTGCGTCTGTTTTCCTTGCTTTATGAAAAATGCCATTCTTATGTAAATTGAACGGGAGCGTAGTTATGAAAAAGGGGGATACGTATAGCGCGTTGTATGAGGTGTCAACGACCGCTTTCTGCTCCTATTCGCAGCAATTACTTGAGACGTAGTCGACATTTGGAATCCGAGGGTAGAGGAGTAGTCGGATGCTCGTCGTTCTCGAACGTCGTCATCAGCGACAGAGCGTTGGCCTATACGGTCACGTCACGCGACATCCTTTCCTTTGCCTGGCAAATTAGCAAGGGGATGGCTTATCTAGCCGACATTAAGGTAATTCCAAACGCGTTTTGCCATTTTGATTAAAAACACAATCCTCTTAAGATCAGAAATTTAACCGAAAGTTATTTCGCTGTTTAGTTAGTTCACCGAGATCTCGCAGCCAGAAATGTGTTGCTCGCAGCCGAGAGAGTCTGCAAGATTTCAGACTTCGGATTGACTCGCGACGTCTACGAGGATGACGCTTATTTAAAGCGCAGCAAGGGACGAGGTAAGCTCTTTACTGATACGGAGGGATAAATGTCGTTCATTAATTTGCAAGGATTCGCAAACGGAAAGTTCCACGGTCTAATCTATAAGTTTCTGCTTTAGTTCAGCGTGCTTTACTGTTTGTTCTGTGCCAGTTCCAGTGAAATGGATGGCGCCGGAATCGCTGGCGGATCACGTCTACACCAGCAAATCGGACGTCTGGAGTTTCGGCGTCCTCTTATGGGAACTGGTCACCCTGGGCGCGTCCCCTTATCCAGGTGTGGACGTGCATAATCTTTACAACTTGCTAAAAGCTGGATATCGTATGGACAGGCCAGCAAATTGCTCGGAACAGCTGTAAGATAATCCGTGATCGGACGCATGTGTCACGCGTAAACATCATTCCTCTGCTCGTAGATATAAGTTGATGACGTCCTGCTGGCATCAAGAGCCTGCTATGAGGCCTTCCTTCAAAGAGCTCACCGGTCATTGGGAAAAAATGTTAGAGGACAGTGTCGAGTATCTGGACTTAAATCCACGGACCGTTGACAATCAGGCTTATTTCGCCTCCCTTCACGCTTTGGACAGTCCTAGCAGTACGTTTATGATCGTGCGCTTTTCGAATTTAATCACGAGCTTATTTCTAATGAATCTGTTTCCAAAAATAAGTCTATTGAAAAAATATAATTAACGATAATTGAATTTTTATTATTTTCCATGTTGTCTGTTTTTCTTAATAGGTTCCGGTAACGATGCCACGGATGATACAGAAATCAGCGGTTTCAAAACGGACGTGGTTAACTATTTAGAAAGACGCTCTTCCGACACGGTGACCAAGTGCGACAAAATTGACAAGCTACATACGCTCTGGCAACAACCAATAGGGTCCTTCCCCGACGAACCCGTCAAGCTGTACGTGAACGATCGACCGTCGAGCTTCCACGCGAATCATTATGAAAGTCCGATCAAGTTTCGAAACATCAGCATAACAAGTAACAGCGAGAACGACTTAGCGTCGCCAACGAACGAGCGTTGTCAACCGTACATGGATATGAAAGGGAAAAAATCGTCGGGAGCAGCAGACTCAGAAGCGGAAGAACTTCTTGTCTTCGGCAACGATAACGCGGAGGAATACGAGGATCAGAAACTAAACGGAGAAAGTGCGAAGGGCAGAGGGTAAACTGTTCTGATACGGTATCTGTTCCGCACATTTTCTTTCGTTTCACGAGAGAATCGATTGTATACTCCTCACGGGCAACGCGACAAGCGCGAGTACGTACGCGTTGAGCATAAACGAGTGCGAGCGTAGCTGCTGTCGTCGCGACGTGACTCTGAAAGATCGATACGCTTAAAAGAGATAAGAATCGAATGGCGCGATGTCCATGGTCAATGTGAAAATCATTGCGTTCGAATTTTATTAACGAGTCGCTACACTTCTCGCTTCGTACTTTCGTATTTGTTACACACTCCAAATGTTCTGCTAGAATTGTCGAACACTAGGACGAAGGTTTCGAAATATTGCGTGGAACTTTCCTAAGCGATTGCCGGATAAATAATTTGAACGAGCGTACAAGGTGAATGGCTTCCTATCGATCACGGGCGACGTATGTGCGTACACGTAATAAGTTGTCTCAGACGCTTTAGGGATTGATTAGCTTCCAATTAACTTCGTCAAACGCTCCTCGATTAATTTGCGATGAGAGGAGAGAAAAGAATTGTAACGATTAACGTAACGTAAGCTTCCACTGCAATTTTTCACCGCAAAAGTTTCCAGCTTTTAACGTACTTCTTCAGGATAAATACTTGTAATTTGTAAGGAGAAATGAAAATTGGAGAGGCGAGAATTCAACGTGCTGGTCAATGTAATCAATCGTACCTATATCAAATAAGACTGCTTTTTCATACCTCGACTAAATAAAACAAATCACTCACATTCTTCTATTTTACATACAAAGCGAAGCATTCCATTTCGTTACATTAACGTTAATTAGTTACCACTTGTCGTTTATAACGCAAGCGTTCCAGTACAAATTTAGTTATAGAACACTGTACTTCCTTTAATTTCGAAGGATCAACTATTTCTCGCATGCAAGAATTTCTTATTGTTAATATTTGCACACGCGAGGAAACAATGTCCGACACTTTTGTGAGAACAAATCAACGAATTGTAAATGGGAAATTATAATAAACGAACATAAGAACCTACATGGTAATAAAAAGAATTTAATTAACTCTATATAAGTATAAAAACATCATGAGTTAAAAAACAGAGTCATGGAAGGTACTTTAAAATCACGTAATTAATTGATCTAGACGAATCGCGCAGCCATTGTTCGTTAAATTATTACGAGTACAAGTTTGATCGCTATTCGTATTTTCTCCGAGCAGATCTAAATCATGGATATTCAGTGTGAACTTCTCTGACTTATTCGTCGATATAAGTCGTGAATCATCGTTGCAATCCTTTGATACCTCCGTGGTTTCCGAGGACAATAAATTTTCTAAAATAGATAGATTTATAATTAACGACATACAATAAACGATTAGTTAGGAATCAAACAACGAGAGAACTAACCAGTTTCTCGTTCGTCCTTTCCAACGTTGGGATCCTCATCAAAGAACTCGAGCTTCACTGTTTTTAAGCTATCTAAAAATTCTTTATCAGATGCGGAGAAAACGTATTCCCCATGTCCATGGATGAGCTTTATGAGTTTAGGCAGCTCTTTCGGTAGACAAATTACTGTCACGTTGCTGTTCGCTTCTTCGAGTACATCGTCCGATTTGCAGTACGGTAGCTGCACTATGTAGTAACGTTTCGTTCGCGATTGACTCGCATCCATCAGCCTCAGGAGGTAACTATTGGCATTTCGATAAATGCTCGATGCCATGGGTTTTTCGGGTGGTGGAGAAACGGCGAGGAGAATAACGTCTGCGTTCCGCAACGCGGTATCCATATGTTCTGGGTCCTACGTCACGACCAAAGATTATCACCTTCGTCAAGACGGACATGAATACAAAATAACATTATCGGTGTACTAACTTCGCCCGTGATATCCGTAGCGTTTATCTCGAGTATCACAACGTCGATGTTACAGTTTCTCAAGTACTTCTCTAATTCACGCATCACAGTAGTGTGCGAGGATCGGCTCGGCACGTAAAGCAACAAACACCTCGGCCTCCTTCGTCTCCTCAATACTACTACGAAGACGCGCGGGATAAATCGTGCTCTTTGATTTACAAATCTTACAAATACCGTTGTCAATGTTACCTTCTCTATAGAATTTATGAAGGATGAGCATTATCATTGGTGGTATCCACACAATGCTGACCATCATCAACAGCAAATGCTGCGACGCTGCGAAATTTAAATCGGCTATCGTAAAACGCAATTTTATTTAAACTCTATGCTAATCGACACTTCGTTTTGCTTACGCCGTTCGATCAGGGGCGTAGTGCTGTTGGCGCATCCGTAGTCCCCGCATGTTGGATGCATCGGCGCAACTTTAAAATAAAAGTAACCCGTGTGCGAGCTAAAATCGTACCGAAGTTCGTCTCCAGTCCTCACGTCGAAAGTCTTGAACCAATCGCTACCATACTGCATCAACCATACTTTATACATAGTTACATTATATGAGTCTGGTAATGGTTGAATATGCAACGAAAAGACGGGTTTGTCAGAAATATCTACATACACAAATGGCATGTACTCCCTTATACTTATGTCTCCCCCTACGACAAAATAGATTCGAAGGAACTGATGAACACCTTTGTGACTTGTTTATTTTAATTAAATCTCTTTAAACACTCACCAAAAAACATGTGATCAGGTACTCTGAACATGTACTGTTTCCTATACTTGTACCTTTCTCCCGTCACGATATACTTTAAACGATAATTTTTATTTTCATAGGTGTCATTAGCAAATGGACAAGAAATGTACAGTTCTTTTGGAGCTGGATATGTTTCATTGCCATAAAATCTTATTTTTCTGCAATATAACTCGTTCTTATTATCCATCCATTGATAATATGTGACAAGTTCTATTGAACAAAAAAACATAATTAATTTTCTTATTTTCCTGTATATATAAATATTCTATAAAATAAAATATCTTACCTTGAAAATCCACACCAGTAACGCTTAAATTAAATGCTGTGTATCGGAAACCAGGATTTATTTCTGACACATACGCACGTAAAGTAAAGTTGCTTTTTGTGTTTTCCGGGTAGCTTTGAATATTGTCATCAGAAATGTATTTTCTACACACTGCCGATAAACAAAATTAATTTATCTGATTTTTATGTGTGCTGCAAATAGATGATGAATTTTTGTCTCTATTGTTGTGTTCCCGCGAATAAGATCGATTCAAGTGTGTGTAAAATACATATACTTTATTCAGAACGCTCGGAGATACAGTTAAGTTCGATGTTAACGCTACAAGAGCCTAAGACAGAGTCCCCGTCTAAATCTAAAACATGGGGGTAGAAACCCTTGTTCAAGAGGTACACAGAAAGTTGGGGGGTCCTCGGTGACCGTTGCTTGATTCTTTGTCCGAAAAGACGTTTGAGTTGTTGGAGTATCGAACACTATACTACGAATTTTAATTTATAATGAGACGCGTAATGAGATTAACATCTTATTTACAAAAATTTGATTTCAGATAAAAATCTGTAATTTAGTTTCATAATGAATGAATCATACCTTCGCCTTTTTTTACACGTGTTAACAAACACTGGAAGCCAGGTGTAGGAATGAATTCAGTCTGAAAAAAATAAACATTATTACTTGATATGATTGAACTTGCTGTAAGAAAGCGAGATTCGATGATATTGAACATCATATCGATTGATAAATGGCAAAATAGTTTACCACATTCTGACAGTAGTCTGAATAACAAGAATAATCTGCGACGCTTCTGGTAGAGTAATAAAGGAGCATCACAAAGCAGACGAGTCTCCGCATCGTAGGGTTAGAAAATCCTCGTAACTTCTCAACAAGTTCGTCGAAGTCGATTCGTTTTACGTCACGCCCATCAACGATTGACGAGACGTTTGACTTTTCGATGGTGAAACATCACATTCACCAAAAATGTTTCACGTTCGTCGATGCAAACCAGCACATCGCTCACTGTTTGATAAACTCAGATAAACTGTGATCTGTGATCACTGTGATGTGTATGCGTATCGCAGTATCGCGGTATCGTATATATCTACAGGACAGGTCTAGGAACAGTATGGCAGATGAGTTCACTCTACGCTGATTGGTTCCGCCATTTATAGTGTAAACCATATACACATATATACGTATATATTGTGATACGCTGTCTAACCACGGATCTCAGAATTTATTCCTCGGCCGGAAAGTGGGGACGACGCGACCATGGTGGGCACTGGTGCTTGATGGGGGTATGCTAGGCATGGTCAGCGATGGCGCATGAGGAGAATAGTAATGGGGATCGCAATATGGGCGAAAAAGAGGGGAAGCGAGCCGTGCGGGATAAATTCTGAGATCCCTGTGTGTAACCGCATTGTGATCGCATTATACATTATTTTCTATTGATGAGAGTGAAAAATAAGGAAATACCAAGATAAGTTCTAATCTGAACAGGTCATTAAATCAGTGCGACTTGGAATTTAAATTAAAATGCTTCTGAAGAGACTGCCAGCATTTGTAATAATCGTGGTCCAACTTGTCAGACAAATGAGCGGCCCATTCGGTCACTGCTAAACTATATGTGGTCTCAAACATGAAAGCTTGAGTTCCGTCGGCGATGCGCTCGGGTTTCAGCTCGCTGTTCGAAGCTGTTTCGAAACAACGCGCGTCTGGCCCATGCGGCGTCATAATCGAATGCAACGATGCACCGCCTGGTTGAAAATTATCCTCTTTTGCCTCGTATTGTCCCTTTATTAGGCCCATGAATTCGCTCATACAGTTCCCTGCGAAGTCGAGGTAATAAATACGCGTGTAGTCTGACTCTACTGTTGTTTGACTCGAGCCTTTTAGATAACAAGCATGAAAGTTGAATGAATATTTACATATCGAGTAAGCGAGGGGAATCCGACTCGTTTGAATCAGTGTAGGCGAATAATTAAAAAATGGACAGGAAAAGAGAGAGGAAGAGCGATGGAGGTCGGGAAGGAGGGAAAAATTGCAGGTGTCCGACGTGAAAAAGAACGGAAAGAGCAGAAATCGGATGATCACGAAGGAAAAGGAAACTAATCGATATTGTCGGAGAAAATTTCAAGTTTTCACCGATATCTCGGTTATGCGATTTTTAAAAGCGGTGTACCATAACGAAGCATCCGAGCCGTGCAATTGACAACAAAACAGCCGTGCAATCAGTGTAGAAAAGCAAAAAGATCGGACGTAATTACGCATCGTTATTTATTATTTAATTGGAAAGCGAAAAAGCGAAATGCGAAGGCGAGCTCAAGTCGTTCAATCATAATTTATGAGATAAAGATCAACTTTTATCCACTGGGAAAAAGAATTTTATTTGACGAATGTTCGGTTTATTAAAAATCCTTAAGAGCATTATATTTAAATAATTGGCAAAGTATTCGCCACATATGAGGCTATTTTCGAAACATTTGATAAACTATAAGAAATTTTGATCCACGTTTCGCGATCGAGTTTTATTGGAAGTTTGCTAAAGATAGAAGAAACACGGCTACTCGCTATCGAATGGCTACTGCGCGCGGCGCGGGGCTCTCGAAATTTCTCCGTCAACTCGAGCTGCGCAAAAGCAGTAACATCAACATCGTGCCTCGACTTTCTACTTACGATGATAATAAGGAGGCCGGAACGTGTGCTCCTGCACGGACCATCGGGGTGGGAATATCACGAAGTCGGCCGCCGCTGTGCCGGGCTTTCCCGAGGGACAAGTCAATACCGTGAAAATCGACGGGTCCTGAAGGAAAAAAAATTTAGTTAGTCGTACCGCGTGGACATCGAGCAATCTATACAAATTCAGAAACCGATCAGAACTTACACAGTGATCGAAAGAAACCGAATTGATGACCATGAACTTTTCAAGATTATATTTGTACGGGACATAATTCCCATGCCAGGCGACCACGTCGAATGGGCTATGGCCTTGCCGGGCAACGAACAGTTTACCGTGATACTTGGACACGATTTTATAATCTGTCTCACGATCCTCGAACCAAGCAACAGGCGATTGAAAATCTCGCGGATTCGCCAATCCGTTCGCTCCTGTTTCCAGATTTTTATTTCTATTCATGCTTATGTCAAACGAAGCTGTTTTTAAGAAATGGCTCTTCGTTACCTATTGGACCCAAATCGGGCAGTTGGAAATGATCGTCGAACACCTCCAGGATGTAACCCCGGGACGGGCCGAACACCGCGACGTTGAATCGCATACCTTGCTGCACCACGCATATTTCGTTCGGTTGGCAATGGATCTTTCCAAACTCTGTGGTTATCACCAACGTGCCTAACTGGGGCACTGAGAGCAACAGCATGTCGTTTAATATTTCGATTCAATTTTAACAATTCTGGTACATTGTATGCTAACGGATTGTAATTACAAATAAAAAAATTGATGGCACTTGGAGTCGCAGTATTAAACATTATGTACATATATTCCTTTTGGTAAAAGATGTCATATACCGATAAGAAAATCTCCGTCAGCGTTGTAGAAGGCTTTATCTTTCATCGAGGCGTTGCAAAGGTACACGTGGATCGCGACACCTTGTCGAGCGCGAAAATCACCCGCCCCGCATATCGTATGTAAACCGTCGACAAAATCCACTTCCGGTGTTTGCCTGTTCGGTACTTGGAACGGACTCCATCTTAACTAAAAGAATTCGTGAGAATCTCTTTATGATGAATGAAAAAGCAATTTTATGTATGTATGTACATACCTGATTCGGTGTTGGAGTCACAGCGTCCCATCTATAGTCTAAGCGAGGGCTACTGATCGATTTGAAAGGTTCGTGAACGACCGATGGTCTAATTCGATAGAACCACGATCGTCTGTTGCGGGAGCGTGGTGCTATGTAAAATAAAATAATGACAATGTGACAGATATTAAAGTAATGCTGATTATTATTTAAATTTGTTCATTGTTCGTTAGTTTATTTACCAGTGAACGATGTGCCCGATAATTGTTCCGCGTACAAGCCGTAAGGACATTTCTGGGGATTGTTCTGGCCGTCCGGTAGAGCACCTGGACAACGTTCGTCCTCGCTCGAAAACTCGCAACCAAAACCTGTTAAATACTAAAAAAATACACAATCAATAAATCAGAACAATATCGATACTGTCCTTTCAAACAACAGTCTTATCCAAAGATCAATTGTTTTAATAGTTAACAAACGTTATCACGAAATTTTATTGTGTTTATAGTATTCGTCGAACAATATCGCCACATTTTTCGTGTCCTTCAGATTTGGATATCTAAATCCTGTTTTAACCCCTTGACATACAAGTAGAACAGAATTTGATGCTAAACTCTTTTAATAATTAATACCTGTTAAGTTCTTGACGTCTCGGAGACATCAAAGTCTATAATGACACATGGAACGAATAGACGACATTGTATGTCATGGGGTTAAGACCGTGCAAAACGGCTAACGAACTCAGCTCTATCATTAATTTTCCATGATAAAAGTTGAAACTGTTAGGAGGTAACCACGTAAATCCTTAATCTCTCCTTGAGCCAACTGTCAACTGTTTAAGACCTCTCATCATTAATAGTATTGCGTAGAATTTATGCCTTATTCTTATATGGTTTTGCTTATTGTCTATTTCAAGAACGTGTAAGAGGTGTGTTGTGACTTTGACCAGACTCGCAAGGACCCGAACAGATGGTCGGAAGATGTGAGAGGTATTTTATGACGATGACCAGATTTGCAAGGACCTTTCCGCTTTGGGTCCTCGATCCCATTTCTAAGTTTTGTAGGTCCAGGCTTAAATGAGGTTTCCAGATGCTGTCTTTAGCCAGTTCTAAAAAAAAAATTCTTCGCATCGGATGATGCTAACTGCCGCTCCCTGGGAGTTTCCTCTTTGTTTTAAAGAAGGTACAGAAGGTACGCGCCTTATTCTTTTTGGGAAAAACCCCAGTGCTGTCGGCTAATGGCGGGGTGAGCACATTCGGGTCCTTATGAACATAGT